TTGTTTTGCGCAGATTTCATACTAGGTTAGTTTCATTCTGCAGGTAAGAATTGGGTTTAAATGTAGTCAGAGTAAACTACGAGAGGTATGATTAAGAAGCATTATTGTTAAAGAACCATCTGTAGGCCTGTTCTCTTAACAAGCATTTTGTCATCCTGTTTAAAATCCTCGGATCATATATACGGTCCCTGTTTAGTATTTTCATAACCTTCTTGATAAAATAAATATGCTACTTGCTAAATCATTTATGGGCTTTTGCATGTCAGTGTTTAAACATTAATATTCTTTCTACTAATATATACCTTCTTTAAATGTCCAGTTCATAAATCACCTCTTTTTAATAAATTTTGTATGGATGTATGTTATATAGTTTATAAAAAGCTTTGGAAAGATTTATGTTAGGTAACCATATGCTTTTATCATTCAAACCAGGCCACTTTTAAGAGACAACGGAAGCACTATTAATAATTGTCCCGGGATAATGAGCACAAATTAGGACTTTTCTGGCCATAAACTAGGACTGTTCTAGGCAAACGAGGAAATATGGTCATCCTACTTAAAAGGAAAACAGAAGTCCTTTGCCCCATCCTTTACCTCATTCCCAGTCCCACTTTCCAAAGGCAGTGACCCTCAACTTTTTAGCTGTTCTAAAATTTACCTTCACATTTCTAAATGATGTGTTTATACTGTTATTTCATGTTTTTCAACATTACTTCTATTTCATTATCCATCATTGTCCTTACTTCCCCTACCCACCTCCATCCCCCAGCATGTTTGTAGCAAAATTATTGATTTAGTAGTCTGTTTACATTATTATAATTATGTAAATATTAGAGTTCACCCAAGCATAGCAGTACATCCTTTCTTGAACAATAGCTCTATTTTCCCAGATTAGAAAATTAATTTATAAGTTGCTATTTGTTCTGTGTACTCAACATATTTTCCCAGTGTATCGTCATCTCTGCCACATGCCAAAATAGTTTCCATATGATGTTATTTTTTTTCTTAGAACTTTACTTCCATTATCTGTGATCTTACTCCAATCTGGATCGTTTGCTCCCTATGCTTTCTGCATTCTTTTGTTATTGTTTCCTAGATTCCATGTCTGGTTCTTTCATTCTTTACATTCCCATTTTCCTAGGACATGCTCTTCATTTAGCTTCCTATGATTTTTGTGGGGGATTTTGATTGATTGTTTTTTTAAGATCTTGCATGTCTAAAAATTTGTTCTATTCTCTACCTCAGTCGTTAGATTGAAATTCAAGTCTAAACAGTTTTCTCAGAACTATAGGCAATGCTTTATTGTTTTAAGAGTTATTAAAGTTATAATTAAGAAGCCATTCTGATTACTGTTCTTTTATGTGTGACTCACTTTTCCACTCTTGTAACTATAAGATCTTCCCTTTATTTCTCCTGTTCTGAAATTTCAGGATGATAAATTGTGATGAGTGGTCATCTTTTTTCTCTGATCCTGCTAAGTACTTTTGAACCCTTTCAACGTGGAGATTTGTGTCTTTCAATTCTAGAAAATTTCTTTTATTGCTTTGGAAATGTTCTCTCCTCTATTTTCTTCTTTCTATCTCTGTAACCATAGTTATAGTCATATGATAACTCCCTTAGACAATTCTATTTTCAAGTTAGATTTTCTACATCTGGGAGGTTTCCTCAGTTTACTCCCAATCCTTATGTTGCATTTATTTCAGTGTATCACATTTTTTAAGTGTATCGTTTTAAATTTCCACAAACTCTTTGTTATACTCTGATTGCTTTCTCCAGCATCCTGTTCTTATTTTATGAATGAATGTCTTTTGGGATAGTAGTTAGCTTCTTTCCGCACATTTTCTCTAAGTTCCTTTTTTTGTTTTTTACTTTGATGTTAGAGGCCTTCCTTGGGTACCAAGTGATCCTTGATGTTTGTCTATTAGAGGGAAGGACTAAAAAGCTAATTAGAAACTCTTGGTAACTAGTGGACCTTGCTGTTGGGTAGGATGGTCAGATGACAAGTTAGCTTTGTAATTGGGAGCATTCCAAATGTCGGTATCCAGAAATCTTATCTCTGGTGTTTTGTTTGGTGTTGTAAGAGTAAAATCCCTTTGTCTCCTGATAGCATTTTAGAAACATATCAGGAGAGTCCTTGGGTCTCAACATTGAATATATAGATTTGTTTCTTATTCGCTATGCTTACCCTGCAAAGAAAGGGGGAAAAATTGCCTGTGAGATCCTTATTCTCTGGAGAATAAATATCCTATTTTTGGAAGAGTCAAGCTAGAGGAAAAATTTGGGGTTTTACTGCTTCAGCTACAGATTTTAGTTCAACAACTTCTTTTCAATTTCAGTCATCATCCCTTTTTATGGTACCTTGCATTTCTGGGTCTTGATTCTTTCTATGGGGCAAAGGCCAAATGCTTTGCTTATAGTTCCTACCTCTTTCTTGGTGTGTAGCTTCATCCTCTCTGCTGAATTACTCTACCTCTCCTCCTACTTTTGATTTTCCAAATATATATTGAAATCTCTTGCCTTCTGTGGTTGCCTTTCCTGTCCTTTTCATAGTTATAGCTTTTGGATTCATTTACTGTCATTTTATAGGAGTTTTGGAAATAGGGCCCAAAATTAACGCATAAGAGTAACCTGTCTTGTTTAATTTGAAGTTCAGAACTGTTATTTCATGACCCTTTTTGATGAGCTTTCTTTGATTTAATCATATCCCAGTATGAATTTTACTCTAGTTTCTCATTAGCTAGATATTCTTTTTTTTTTTTTGAAGATTAGCCCTGAGCTAACTACTGCCAATCCTCCTCTTTTTGCTGAGGAAGACTGGCCCTGAGCTAACATCCATGCTCATCTTCCTCTGCTTTATACATGGGACACCTACCAAAGCATGCCTTTTTGCCAAGCAGTGCCACATCCGCACCTGTGATCCGAACCACCGAACCCCAGACTGCTGAGAAGTGGAAGGTGCGAACTTAACTGCTGTACCACTGGGCCAGCTCCAGCATTAGCTAGATATTCTTAGTTGAATAATTTTAATTGCCATTGGGCTTGTGTTATATCTTTTTTATGTTTGTTATGTATCTCCTACGGCAGTATACACCATATGTTTGTTGACGTTTTTTGCTCTCTTCATCCTTTCTTGTCATTGACTGATAGCGTGTTTTTAAGATAAATATTCTTTTGTAGTAACTTTTAAAGTAGAAAAGATGTAATTGATCCATAACTTAGTTGAGAAGTTAATGAAGTTACATGCTGAAAATAAATTAGATATTTTTAACTTAAATGCCTAAATTTGAAAATTTTCATAAAGCAAATATACCTTATCCAAGCTGCATATGAGATGAGTACCTCTGTTATTACTTACCTTAATTTCAGTCCACTACCAGAACAATAAGAGAATAATTTTTTTTTTTTCCCTGAGGAAGATTAGCCCTCTGCTAACTGCTGCCAATCCTCCTCTTTCTTTCTGAGGAAGACTGGCCCTGAGCTAACATCTGTGCCCATCTTCCTCTACTTTATATGTAGAACACCTACCACAGCATGGCGTACCAAGCAGTGCCCTGTCCGCATCCAGGATCCAAACTGGAGAAGCCCGGACTGCCACAGTGGAACGTGTGCACTTAACTGCTGTGCCACCGGGCCAGCCCCAAGAATAATTTTTGACCTCAAAAGTGGTTGATTGGGAGAAGTTGAAGAGATTATTGTGATTCCTTTTTATTTACTACTTTGTTTTGCCCTTCTCTTTTTTCTGCTCTCAAGACTGGTGGCATCTCAGTTATCCAGAGGCCTCATTGTAAATCCTTGCCTCAGAAAATTTTTAAAGTTGTTTTTTCAATTTATAAAAGTAATGTCTTGGGGCCCGCCCCGTGGTGCAGTGTTTAAGTTCACACCTTCTGCTTTGGCGGCCCGGGGTTCACTGATTTCGGATCCTGGGTGTGGACATGGCACCACTTGTCAAGCCATGCTGTGGTAGGTGTCCCACATATAAAAAAACTAGAGGAAGATGGGCACGGTTGTTAGCTCAGGGTCAGTCTTCCTCAGCAAAAAGAGGAGGATTGGAGGCAGATGTTAGCTCGGGGCTAATCTTCCTCAAAAAAAAAAAAATTAATGTCTTTGCAAGCAGCACTATTTTAATAGCCTAAAACTGGAAACATTCTAGTGTCCACCCACAGAATGGGCAAATAAATTGTGTGGATTGATACAATGGAATACCATATAAACCATTTAGGGGGAACTTACTGCAACTGTATGCAACAACATTAATGAATCTCACAAATTTAATGTTAAGCAAATGAAACCAGACATAAAAGAGTATATATTTTATGATTCCATTTTTATATATGTTGTTAAAAATCAGGCATAGCTAATGATGACTCTTAGTGTGGGTTGAGGATTATTTAGTGAAAAAAACTTAGATTTTTTTTCTTTTGAGAAGAGTAGACAGGAAATCAAATTACATTATATCGTATGATGTCTTAATAAAAGAATTTACAAAATGGAAGCACACAAAGAAAAATGCTTGTTTTAAGACCATGACCAGGAATTGAATGGGGAATGTATAGACTTCCCAGGCGCATAGAAAGGCCTATGAGAACATATTATATTAAGGATTGTGCAAAAATAGTACAGTATAGCTAATGCACGTGGTATGAGTATTGAATGCTGGTAATAGATAAGAATAGCAAGAGCATCAAGGACAAATTTGTGTAGGATTTTAGATAGAGACAAAATTGAGTAAGGAAAAGAGCTCAGGCTTTGGAAACAACAAATCTCAGTTCCTCATCCCACTTTTATCATATTTGCTTCATGTTATGGACAGTAGGAAACCTTTGGTGAACTTGAGACCTCTGCCTTGTAGAAGAGGGGTGATGATAGTCTCGCATTTTACCCTACCAGATATAGTTAATTTGCATGTTTAATTCTTGATTTGAGCTGATGATTAAGGAGGATTAAAAGTTGAGGTTTGCATGTCTTCCCAAAGGTGATTAATCAAAATTTGCATTTCACAGAAAACCTTAAGAATGGAGTCTAAACCTTCAAGGATTCCAAGAAGAATTTCTGTTCAACCCTCTAGCTCTTTAAGTGCTAGGATGATGTCTGGAAGCAGAGGAAGTAGTTTAAATGATACCTATCACTCAAGAGACTCTTCGTTTAGACTGGATTCTGAATATCAGGTAACATCTTAATTTGGAATATATGTACACAGTCTCTTTTTCAAAATCCTTGGCTCCACATGTTTTTTGGATTTTAGAAAAGTAATAGAGTGTTTATAACACCCTCAGCTAGATCTGAGGCATCATGTAATCAAAACACATTAATATATCTGCAGCAAAATGAATTAATGTTCACATCAAGTAGCAAAAAGTTAATGTTTTTCAAACTTTTTGAACTTAAGAATTATGAATAAGGGATTGTGCTGTTATTTAAAATCATCATACTTTCCAAACACTTAGAAACCTTTTTACTTGAAATTTTAAGTTTTGATTTAAGTATAAATTTGACTAAATTAGTCAATGTGAATGACTTTGTCAAACGACTGAAAACTGCCTACTTTTCTTTAACATTATGCTCATTCGAGTTTTCTCTACATGTACAGAAAACCATGGTGGAATAATAATTGTTAAGTGTTTTCTTTGAGAATATGACTCGCAAATATTTTGCTTTTAATGTTGATGATTATTAAATCAATAGGCTGTCCTTTTGTGAAGATACATCACTAACAATCTTTTAGATGGATTTTGGGGTTTTATTTTGGCGAATGAATTTTGGAGTACATAAGCTACTTTTATGGAGCTAATTTTCCTTAGGACTAACAGTGCTGTGGTTTTTTAAATGGCTTATTAGTGCTATAACATGGTAGCTGTAGTATAAAACAGTATAAATCTCGGAAGGCATGACTTGTAGGTTTAATGCAATTTATCTTGCTCATCTTTCAAATTTAAGTTTATTGCATTATTGATTGAACAGCTAATTCAACCACATGTGATTTTCTAAAGTCTGATGTTTAGGTAATTTCAGTCTTTTAGTGAAAATTTCTGTTTAAGTCTTAAGTATTTACATATTTATATATCATGTGATGTACTATATGACAAAGTCTCATTTAAAAATATTTCTGTACAGTAATAAACATTTTACAAAATATTCCAAGACTGAAATTAAAAAAATAATTTCTCTACTAATGCCCACTGCCCACTTCTTGACTTTGTATGAACAGTTTACTAGGTCTCATTTTAAATGTTGGTTCATAATGTACTTTTTTATTCTGTTGTTAAACAAGAGTGTGTTTACCAGAGGTACAGAATCGTATATTTTACATTCTATAGAAATGTTGTGGGTTAAATGACTGTGACTTATTAAAAGCACAGATTTGGTTTCTTTCCTATATTGTCTTTACAAAATTTTGCCTACTTATTTTGTCTAACTTTTCATATAACTTATTAGTCAGGACCACAGGCTCTGAAACCACAATACATATACTGCCTGGATTGGAGTCCTGTTCCACTACTTGCTAGCTATGTGAACCTGGGCAAGTTACTTTACATCTTTCTTTCTTATTTTCCATGTCATTTGGTTGATTGAGTTGTTAGAGTTAAATGAATTAATACATTGAGTGAGACTAGTGCTGCCACATGATAAACAATACATAAATGTTAACTACTGCATTTGTTTTATTATAATTGTTATAGTAATCCTAATATTTTAGATGCGGAAAGTCTTGAATATATTTAGAAAATTTATTGGCGTTCACTTTAAAATGTAACTGTTTTCAGGACTGTTCTTCCAGCTTATTCTTAATGTCATAGATTATTCCAAAAGTCTAAGTTTTTATTGTGGAAGAACAAATGCAAGCATAAAAACAAATTTGTCTTTTATTGATTATGAATAAGATTAATCAGTTTGGTAGATTTGGGGGTTTTCCTTTAATGTTCTTCAGTTACTTTAAATGGCTTCCAATCTTTTTTTAGGATTGATTATAGGAACCTTTCTGATCTGTTTTTTTTTTAAAGATTTTATTTTTCCTTTTTCTCCCCAAAGCCCCCCGCTACATAGTTGTGTATTTTTAGTTGTGCGTCCTTGTAGTTGTGGTGTGTGGGACACTGCCTCAGCATGGCCTGATGAGCGGTGCCATGTCCATGCCCAGGATCCGAACTGGCGAAACCCTGGGCCACCAAAGCAGAGTGCGCAAACTTAACCACTTGTCCACAAGGCTGGCCCCTCCAATCGTTTTTTTTTTTTTTTTTTGACGATTAGCCCTGAGCTAACTACTGCCAATCCTCCTCTTTTTCCTGAGGAAGACTGGCCCTGAGCTAACATCCATGCCCATCTTCCTCTACTTTATACGTGGGATACCTACCACAGCATGGCTTTTGCCAAGCAGTGCCATGTCCACACCCGGGGTCCGAACCAGCAAACCCCGGGCTGCCAAGAAGTGGAACGTGCTCACTTAACCACTGCACCACCAGGCCGGCCCAGCCCCTCCAATCTTAAATCAACTATTCCTAGCCTGCTTTGCTTTTTAGTTTTGATTCAGAAACTGAAATTCCTTTGCTAGATATTTTACTTTTCCATTTTCTCTTATTTTGAGAGTGATAGAAATAATACGTGTAAAGCACTTAGAACAGCAGTGCCTGGAACGTAGTAAGAGTTCAAATGTTACAGTTATAATTATGACGATTGTTATTGCTAATATTATCATCATTTCCTGGTTTTACATTGATTAAAATAGATAATTAATATCCTTAGGGTGTAGTATAATAGGTTATTAGAATATTTAAATTACATATTGCATGTTTAGTTTTATTTAATATTCTTAAGATTACTCAGTAAAATGTATACTTAATGAATGGAAGAGGCCTTTAAATATCAAAGGGAACATTTTTTTTAAATTGCTGATGCTTTCTCACTCTCTGTTGTCTGCAATATAACACTCCCATCTTATCTCAGACACTTAGTGAAGCTGAAGCTTCAGAAAAGAGGGTCAGGTCTAGGGCATAGTAGATCAATTTCTGTTGTTATGGATTAAATAATATGGAAACGCCTTATATTTATACAGTGCTTGACATTGTATGGAACTTTTTCACTTTTAATGTTAGTTAAATAGGACAAATACTTGTGTCATTTCATGGATAGGGATCTGAAATCTAGAAAGATAAGTTGTTCCCCCTAGTCACATGATTAGCGTTTAATGTACCCAAGCTTAAGTTTCTTGAGACTTCTGGATAGCATTGTTTCTTTGGGAAAATGTAGGTTCTAAGTTTTGAACAGTTGATTTTCTGAGTATTTTTTGGTTCTCGGCCGTTTGTAAGCTGGGCTACCTCTGTTATTAACCTTGCTGGTGTTTCTATTACTCCTTTAAATTTTTGTTACAATTGAATGGTTGAAAAGTATGATCGTTTTATCTCGTTGATAACAGTAAGTAGAATTTCAGATATTTTTTAAAAGAGAATTTAATTCCTTTAATTCATATTGTTAAAAGTAAAAACTTGGGAATGTTCTGTGACTATGTAAAGAAACATAAAGTTACTTTTATATATTTTTCTGTAACATAATTTAAGCAACCACTAATCCCACTATACTTTTGCTTTGTTGAGAGATTGATTACTTTTAATATGAAATAATAAAAAATGAGGCTTTTTATATGGTTCTATGTGCTTTTTACAGTTATTTACATCTTTCTCTACTTTGTAGATCAACTCTTACAGAGCTCCCTACCACTGCATGTTTTGAATAGTATGTGTTCAAGAATCAAAAGAACCACTGGTCATTATCTTTATTTATTTATTTTTTTTGCTTATCTACTACAAGAGTAGCTTCAAGGAAGTAAATACATACGTATATACACAATAGGACAAGAAAATGAAAATAGTTTTAAAATGGAATCAGGAAAAGTACTGATAAAGTACTTAGAGTGGGTCAAGGTTGTAACACTGACAGGCATTTGTAAGCCCTGCAGTTTTAAAGTTAAACTTGGATTCTTGTTTTGGGTATCAGGAAGATCAGAAACACATCCAGCTCTACAAGGAATTTGTTCTACAAGGTATTTGTTCATAAGGAAAAGGGAGCAGTGCTTGCCAGTTTGGTCTGAAAGGGAACTCTGAATGATATAGTGGACAGTGTCTTCAATGTAGTTCATACTGTGAGTATATACCTAGTTTTGTGAAACTGTTTCTTGGTAAACCTCACTGTAAGCAAAGGACATGATGCCAAAGAACAGCTCTGTGGAAACAGTTCTGTAAAAGGCCAGTAGAGCGATCAGAATACTAAGTTTTTGCTAGTCTGTCTTGATCCAGTTAGTAAACCTAGTGTGTTTTGAGGGATAAATGAACTCCAAGTCCTTTGATTTTGTATAAATGTAAGGTTTCTCACCTGGATTTGTTATAAAGTTGGGCATGATCTTAAGATCAACTAATGTCTTTTTTATGAAAATCGAGAAGACTACTCATTCTGAATAGAAACTAGAATATAAGACTTCACATTAGTGTGGAGATGAGTATTCTACAGCACATGAATATTTAAAACAAGAAGTCAAAGTTCTGAGTTGCTTATGGCTAAGGTAATTTTGGTCTGGAAAATTTTCAAAGCAGGAATTCTCATAGTCAAGGCATTGATTCATGAAAATGAGCCAAGGAAGAGCATTTCATTGTGGACTTGCTTACGTTACAGTGCATTGTATGACTTCCCATGATTAAGCATTGTCTAGTGGATAACATTGCTTGTGTTTGTAGCAATCGTGAAGGTTCTTTTTTTAGCTGTCGCTACACTGTCTACCCTTTCTCCCCCCAGCACCAAGCAGCACTAATTTACTTCCTGTGATTTCCCTATTTTGGACTTTAATATACCTGAGTGGAAGCATACTATGTGGTCTTTTGTAACTAGCTTCTTTCACTTAGCATGTTTTTAAGGTTTATCTGTGTTGTAGCATAAATCAGTACTTCCTTTTTATGGATGAATACTATTCCATTGTATGGATATGCCACATTTGTTTATCCATTTATCCATTGATGGACTTTTGAGTTGTTTCCACCTTTTGGCTGTTATGAGTAATGCTGCTGTAAACACTCATGTGCAAGTTCTGTGTGGACTTGTTTTCAATTATCTTAGGTATACACCTAAGAGTAGAAATTGCTGAGTCATATGGGAACTCTATGTTCAGTTGTTTGAAGAACTGCCAGAC